AGACTGTGCCGTCCAATTTGATTTCATTATTTCGAAAATGTTTTGAATGGTACAATCATGAAAATCAATTTTATTCCAAATTAAATAGCACAACCTTCACCCACAGGCATGCATAGAGTTATATCAAATAAGTACATAACCACAAGGTAGGATGCTAAACATAGTAGAGAATCACACACAGGCGGGATGCTAAAGCATAAAAACTTACATATTTACTGGCGTCCCACAAATAGGCACAAAAACAAAATTAGTAAAAATATGCATGGTTCTATATACAAGATCCTAATGCAGTCATGAAATGCAACTACAAATCTGGCTTCTAGTATAAGACATGTAAAACAGCTCAAATCATGAGGTAGCACACAAAATCACAAAATAATTGATAAAACTCACAAATGCAATTTTAGCCAGATCATAAGGCATAAAGCATGGATGCAAAGTGTGGATGCAAAGCATGGATATGATGACAAACATATACAAGATGCATATTCACAGCATATGGAAAGCACGTAAAAGAACGGGATAGAAAAGAAGCAGGGTTGGAGAATTATTACATCGCTTTGAATATTACAAATCCGAATAAAGGAGGAGACGAATAAAATAATTACAACAAGTTAAATTCTCACAAACACTCTCTAATTAACATAAATAAACAAAAATAGGAGCTTTGTAGGGTCTCGGAGACAGTCAGAAGATTGTTCTGTGCAATATTGGGAAGCTGCTGAAATCTATCCAAGAGAGGGGTGGCTGGTCGGCCAGAAAACTTGCCGACCGTACACTAAACCTGCCGATCGGCCACTCAAACCAGGCCAAGTGCCCTGTTTTGCCCAGAAACTAGAAAAACAAACGGAAAAGTGTATATGTGGCTTAACTAACCACTTACAATTAGCTTATAACAGGTTTATAACATGTAATTGAAACAATAAAAGCAATACAAGAAAGGAAATGGAAGAAAAATGAAAGAAAATGAAAAGTGTGTAAAGTTTTCTTTCCAAAGAAGGATTTGATTTACAAACTCCCTCTTGGTTACACTCCAGTGTATGGAAGTGTGTTCTCAATTCTCAATTTGAAATCTCGAAATTGTAGTTGCAATGGTGTTCTTGGGAGATTTATGTGGTGATAGAGCTACAACTCTTTATTTTCCTCTCAAATTGAATAACACTCACTTTCTTTTGATCCAAGCTACTAATTATATCTATAGCAGAATTAATGGAATGGTTTTGGTATGTTGAAGATGAAATATCAGTGTATGTTTCGGGTTGCACGAGCTGTTTGATATCTTTGCCCAAACCTGCTCAAATTTAATTCGGGCTTCTACATTTTTGCTTTAGTCCGTACCAAATTTTAAAATATTTTGTCCAAGGCTTAAAAAAAATTTGGGTTGGGCTCAAGTTGAGACCGCTCAAGTTGTACTCCTATTTAAAAGTATGAGTGTCTAGCATTTCTCTTTTATTTTTGAAAGTTAAAAAATATATGTGCCATAAAACTATTGGTCCATATAACCATATATCTAAATTGAAATTTTGATAGCCTATTAATAATCTTATCTATATTTTAGCCACATCTCATTTGAAATATTTAGATTAAAAATATAAATAAAATTTTTATTAGTTATTTTGAAATTTTTAATCATTGAATTAAAAAAAAAATCAAAATTATAATAATGCTATGATAACCATATTTGATACTACTTAAACACATGTGGTTAAACTCTGGGAAGTCGAAGTGCGTATAAGCTGGTCTGAATATCTGGTCATTAAAAAAACAAAAGTCTGGTAATGTGTCATGTTACATGGTTATACAATTATAGCATTAAATATGATCATCCAAATATTTCTTCTTCTTTTTTTTTTTAAAAAAAAAAATGTATAGAAGTTATTATTATAAGTATAAATTATACATAACTTAATAAAATAAAAATTATTTAAAATTTATAAATACACTTCATCTTCTAACGCTAATTATAGTCAAACAACTTGTTCAATCCAAATAGTTTGGTCCAAAATAAATATCAAACCTGTCAGAGTTTTTATCCATGAGTTGAGTCTTGACCAATAAAATAGTTGACATGATTTCAAATTAGAATTTGAGCAAAAAACTTAAACTTGTGTGTTAACTTGATAAATCTATATCTATTATTATATATAGCAAAACATTGTTTTATCTTTGAAGTTGAAAACTTCAACTCATTTCTCTCATAATTTTGAATTTATAATATTAATATACACATGGATGATTATTATTGGCTCTTTAACTAATATCGCAATATAAGTGATTTAAGTGAATTCTAAATATCATTATTTAAAACATATCTTAAGCTAAAAATTATATATATTAACTTTTTTTTTCTCTCTAAAAGAATTTCCGTGCAATGGTGCGTTGCTAGTATGATTATATACAAAAATTATTTGACAGTTAAATCAAACTCAATTGTTTAGCAGAGAAAATGTTTTAAATTTTTATATCAAACTCATCTCCAATAATGAATAGTATTATTTTGCTAAATTATAGCAATGGTGCTCCAATGGTGCTACAATGGTCATTTGTTATTTTTGACAAATTTCAACCAACTTTCCCTCCAAGTTTGTAGGTGTTGTTTGGATATAGGTTTTTTGTGATTTTATTTTTATTTATTTTTTATCTTTTGTGACATTTTTTTATCTGTTTGTTAAAAAAATTATATATTTATATTATTCCCAACTAGACAAATATAAAAAATTAAAAAAAATTGAAAAACTGAAAAAAAAAAAATTTGTTTGATTAATTCACCCCACCAAAAAACATATCACTATATATTTAATAATTTTTTTTAACTACACAAAAAATAAACAATCACCAATTACCCACCAACAACCAACCACCAACAACCATCTATTATTAACCCAACATTCATTCACTCACATCCACCCACCCAACAACCACCCATTATTCATTCACTCACCTAACAACCATCCATTATTCATCCACCCACCCAACAACCGCCCATTATTCATTCACCCACCCAACAACCATCCATCATTCACCCACCCACAATTTTTTCTATAAATATAACATAAGGTTTTCTACAATTTTCATATTCACCTACCTATCATTTTCATATCTTCAAAACTCATATTCAGCCACTCACCCATCCACCTACAATAACAATTTGAGTAAAGCCATACTAAATGGAGATTTTGATGAATCTTCATCATCTGATGATGATATCTGTAACGCCCTCAAAAATAAACCCATTAAATATATATAACATCAACATCCAATGTTAAAAAGGAAACAATTCATTATAATATTCATCAGAGTCTTACTAAACAAAAGCATTACATGTACATCAAAGTAAATGCCCTACAGGCTTACATCTTTCCAAGCCAACACTTGGACACAAAAGCATGAGTTCTAACTCAAATACAAATAAAGCTCTAGGCTTGTGTGTTTACATGTACTAACAAATGAAAACAAATAACTGAAAATAGTCTTCAAAATCCAAGTCCTTCCAAGCTAAGTCCTTGGAGGTAGCTTATCACCTGAACCTGAAAATGATGTTCCCATATAGGGTGAGTCACAGCCCAGTAGAAATATACTAAACCAAATATAAGCATTGATTAAAGGAATAGCATTCAATAGATGGTTAACCAAGATAATCAAATACATCATTTTACAATCTCATGATGCTATTGTCTAAGACACGTTTTACTTTCCAACTTTATCAATATGGCTCAGAACCTGGCCAAACTTACAACAGTGAACTATATATATATTCACGCTATGTCCTTGGAGGTAGCTTATCACCTGAACCTGAAAATGATGTTCCCATAAAGGGTGAGCCACAGCCCAGTAGAAATATACTAAACCAAATATAAGCATTGATTAAAGGAATAGCATTCAATAGATGGTTAACCAAGATAATCAATTACATCATTTTACAGTCTCATGATACTATTGTCTAAGACACGTTTTACTTTCCAACTTTATCGATATGGCTCAGAACCTGGCCAAACTTACAACAGTGAACTATATATATATATTCACATTCTTCCCATGTCAACAAACAGATGAGACTCAGGCTCAAATCAAAACACTTCATACTTCCAGTTTGATACACATTTTAGTGCTGTATCAATAAAAACACTTCAATATAAATAAGCACACATAAAAGTGATGCTAATGGAGTCCATCCCCTATCTCCTCCCAAACAAAAATGCATATACAATGTATTAAACACTCGTCATATACAACACACAATCAATACATGTATTTTCTGTATTAATTCAACAGTCTAAATCAATGACTTAACCAATGTGATTAGTTTCAGTTTTTCCTAATCCACATGCAATGTCTACAACAATCACGACTATCCTCCACCGTCAGTTATTCCTAATCCACATGCAATGTCTACAACAATCATGACTATCCTCCACCGATAGCCCAAAACAGTTATTTCTAGACTGGAAATAAATATAACAACAATTCAATAAGCGAGTGGTTTAAATTATCCCACTACACCATTTAATCCATGAATTCCTCAATTTCATGAATTTAACCAAATTCCCAAATTCCCAAATTCCCTTAAACTAATTATACAAATTAATTTATTAATACAACTAGGATTTTTCCCAAAATTACCAAAGTATCCCCAACATATCAAAATACCAAAACTTAGAACAAAACTTATAAGATGGAGTAGGAAATCCCTACCTCGAAGAAAATAACCCGAATGGAGAAGACAGAGATAAATACCCAAATTCCAATGTGCTCCAAATCACTAAATGTTCAGATTAAATGGAAGCCTTCGACTCACTCTATCTTTTTAATAAAGGATCTAAGGTAGAAACTCACTCTAAGTAGATCAATCGAAGCCACAATTTTCTCTATAAATATAACATAAGGTTTTCTACAATTTTCATATTCACCTACCTATCATTTTCATATCTTCAAAACTCTCTGTACCGACCAAAAAGATTTTCTATAATTTTCATATTCACCTACTCAACCATCCACCTACAATGAACAATTTGAGTAAAGCCATATTAAATAGAGATTTTGATGAATCTTCATCATCTGATGATGATATTATCATGATGTAACTATTCACAGCGCAACAACAAAGATTACAGATGTTAAGCCTAAACCAACAAACCAGACGTGTTGGTTCCACAAGTGGTTGTCGATACATTAATCGTGAAAGGGTCAAAGGCGACGAACAAATTTATAGAGATTACTTTGCAGATAATCCTGTCTACCTAGAAGAATACTTCTGAAGACGCTTTTGAATGAGGCGGCCATTATTTCTTAGTATCTTACATGATATTCAATAAGTCAATGAGTACTTCATCAAAACCCATGATGCCACTGGTGCACTTGGATTATCTAGTGTACAGAAAATGGCTGTTGCACTTCGAATCCTGCAATACGACGTACCTACTGATACTGTGGACAAGGTGTTTACTTGAGATCCTCAAATAAGACAAATGTCGCTAGATTATTGCAAAAGGGAGAGCAAGGTGGGTTTTCTAGAGTGTGAGGGAGTTTGGATTATATGCACTGGCGTTGGGATAAATGTCCAACCGCCCAAGCCGGTGCTTACACTGGACACTACCACAAACCAACAGTTGTACTCGAGACAATCGCTTCCTACGACTTGTGGATTTGACATGCTTTCTTTGGCATGCTTGGCTCTCTAAATGATATTACTGTTCTTGACAGGTCGCTTTTATTTGCTGAATTAACTAGAGGACGTGCCCCTGCTGCAAACTACACCATCAATAATCACGCATACACCATGGGGTATTATCTTGCTGATGGTATCTATCCTTGTTGGGCAACGATTGTGAAAACAATATTTCAACCTCAAGGCACAAAGAGACAACTATTTGTGAGGATGCAGGAGGCATGTCGGAAAGATGTCAAAAGGGCATTTGGAGTGCTCCAAGCACGATTTAATATTGTCAGCGTGCCAGCTAGAGGTTGGAGTGATGAGGATCTGTACTACATCATGAAGACGTGCATTATTTTGCACAACATGATTATTGAAGACGAGCGTAATATTCCAGAAAATGAACGCAGTGCAGCACAACTTGAGACTGATACCAGTAATTTGGGCTGTCAAGTGTCACGCGATCTGAATGACGAGTATGCTCAATTTATGTTGAATCGGCAAAGGATTTGATCTATTGAAGCCCATAATGTAATTTGTAATGATCTAATTGAACACTTGTGGTCCCGAGCTGGAGAGTTAAATTAAGTTTGCATTTTATCTTTTTAATGACAGTTAATGTCATTTAATGTCTTTTTATTCTAATAAAATGTTCTTCATTTAATGTCTTTTTATTTTACAATGTCTTTTAATGTCAGTTAATGTGTTTTCATAAAATGTCTTTTTTTACATTGTGAAGTACAAAATACTCAAAAATGTTTCTTAAAACAACATGAAATTTCATTACAAAATAAAAATTACATTGCAAATAAAGACTAACAATTACATCAAAAAATAAATGATATTGAAAAAAATAAAGACTAACATTTATCCCAAAATATAAAGACTAACATTTATCCCGTAATTATTCATTAGGAGGTGGGGGGAAATAAAAATTTGGGCTGCTCACATTTGAGGATCACTTGGCGAAAATTTCATTTTTTCGCATTGTGTAATATGCTTTCATCTGAGGGTCCAAATGAGAAATGTCCGTAGTCATTATCATATGTTCTCCCTTTTTCATCTCATGTTCTTGTCTTTTGATTTCGAAGTCATGTTTTTTCATCTCAAGTTCTTTCGTCTCCTGCAGTGCTTGAATCCTTTTTTTCTTCTCTTTCATCTTTTTTCTTTTCCTTCTCAGCAAGGTGTTGGTTAAATGTGTCCAATTGTGTGCTCATATTTTGAACTTCAGCTTGAACGGCTTGATTTTTCTGAAATAATTCTTTTGCAGATTTCCTACCCATCGGCCTTTTACTCCTTGCAGAGACACTGCCCTCACCAACAGTTAGATTGTTACCAACACTTGGACTGGTGTCATCTTCAAGAGAAATGCAATTATCTATAGGGGAATCGAGGGCTGAATCAGGGGAAAATGGTGTATGTATCCTTGACTTCACCGTATTCGTAGGAGTTACATCTTGCCACCTGATATTGTTTTGCAAGATTTACCAACAATGTTCAAAAGCAAAATGTTTCTTTTCATCTTGATGGTATAGAAGTTTTGCTTGAAGCATCTGTATCAATACTGAATTAAGTATGTATCAATAAAATAAAATCAAATATGAGATCTTACTAGATAAAATAAAATATGTATCAATATTGAATTAAGTAATTATTTAATTTTTATATGAGATGAAATAAAATAAAATAAAAACTAACGTAATAAATGAAGATGAAATCTTACTAGATCAACTTGAGACATCCCACTTGGGTGTAGATTTTCGACTTGCGCTAAACATCCACGAAATTTGTTAGAACATTTCATGATTGTACCCCATCGAGATTGGATAGAAACTTGTGTTCTTGACTGATCATTCTGAAGGGAGCAATAATTTTCATAAATTCTCCCCCAAAAGTGAGTATAAGATTGTGAATTGCCAACAATTGGATCTTCAGAAATGTGACACCAAGCTCGACAAAGTGCCATATCTTCAGCAATGGTGAATGATTTTCCTCTCTTTATTTTTGATGAACCTTCCATACCGATTGTGTAAAGAAAATATAAATAAAAATGTAATTTACAAAGTTTGTTGTGAAATGAAATTGAGTAAAAAGAGAGAAGAGAAGGTTTGTATTTATGGAAAAAAGAGCCGTTTTTTTATATCCGTTGCAGATATGTTTTTTTTTATAAAAACGAACCGTTGTAGGCATGTTTCAGTTATGTTTTTATTTAATTTTTTTTATTGAATAAAGTAGCACTAAAGAGCCGTTGTAGATATATATATATTTTTTTAATCAATAAAGTTAGAAAAGTTTTGCACATCTACTCTTGACAATTTGAGAGCTTCGAAACTCGAGAGAGAGAGAGAGAGAGAGCTTCGGATGAGTGAAGATCAGTGGGAAGATCAGAGGAAACTTCAAAGACAGAGAGAGAGCTTTGGATAAACTTCGGATGAGTGAAGATCAGAGGGAGAGAGAGCTTCAGATCAGAGAGAGAGAGAGAGAGAGCTTCGGATCAGAGTGAAGATCTGAGTGAAGATCAGAGCTTCAGATTAGAGTGAAGATCTGAGTGAAAATCAGAGCTTCGGATAAACTTCAGCTTCGGATCAGATCGGATAAACTGTAGCTTCGGATGCCACTGTTTTCTCTCTTCAACCCTCTTCTCTAACCCTTTTCAACCCTCATCTTTAACCCTCTTCAGATCGAAGCCGTAGCCCCCATCAAATCCAGGTATTTTTCTTTAGATTATTTCAGATTTTAATGGATTATTTGAGAAATTAATGGATTATTTGAGAAATTAATTTCAGATTATTTATGTTGGTATTCCTTCAATTTTTTCAATATGTTATTGAATATTGATGAATTTTGGTATGAAATCTGTTTTGTTCATTCTTGTTCAATATTTTGAGAAATCTGAGAAAGAAAACAGTTTTGTTCATTCTTGTTCAATATTTGATAAATCTAATTTGTTTATTCTTGTTCAATATTATTTGAGAAATTTGTTTTGTTCATTCTTGTTCAATTTTTGATGAATTATTTGAGAAATCTATTTTGTTCATTTTTTGATGAATTATTTGAGAAACTGTTTTGTTCATTCTTGTTCAATATTTTTATATAAAACTTCATGCATTCTGGAAAATCCCAACTGAAAGGGAAGGAGGGAAGGAGGGAAGAAAGAAAACAGTTTTATTTTGGATGACTTGACAGATTTGGCAGCTGCCAAAGTAGTTGCCAAGTTTGACACTTGATTTAACAGTTGCCAAATTTGACAACTGTTATAGCATGCCACTGGAGAAGCCCAGATTGCCCAAGCTACTATATTATGGCTTTGACAGCTGATTTAGCCATCCATTGGAGATGCTCAAGAGTAATATATCTAGGCAAAGCAAACTCAAAAAATGGGCTGTCTAATTTTTTAATAAAAAAAAAAAAAAATTAACAATGGTATATCACTACTTACACACTTACACAATACACTTTACACAGTTTTTTTTTTTGTAATAAAAAAAAAATATCACTACTTACACACTCTTTGACAACACAACACCAAAACACAAAACTATCTTTGAACCAGATTGGATTCATGTTATCTTTTATGCCCTAAAACCCAACTAACTCCTAACCACCTTGACTCAAATCAAATCACAAATCCAAAAATTGTAAACACCCCATCTGTTCATAACAACCACCACAAAACAAACAATTATCAATCTGGAAATTTTTTATTTTAGCAAAACTGCTAAAACTTGTCTTATTGATTCATAAATTAGGTACCCACAACGGTTTCGTTCTTACGATTTCCATGTCTAAAAAACAAAGATTTAACAGAAGGTGATCAAGTAATTAGCTCCTTTGCACGTAAAAGTGCTTGTACGATCGTCAAAAGGGTAGCTATAAGCTGTAGGACAAGCAGCCTTGAACAATCTTGAGTAATCTGTTGGCTTGCATGTGTTGGGACTATTGTAAGCACCAGTACAACAATACTGGGGTTGGTTAAAAGCCAAGCACGCACTCTTACACGCTACAACACTCCCACTTCTCGTCACCTGTAAAGGAGAAGGACAGTGTAGGTTCAAGTTGGAAAGACATCTGACTGACTTACAATTCCCTGATCCACCAGAAGGGGATATTGATACCGGGATGTTAAATCCATCGACAAGACTAACATCATAGAAATCGAGTGGGCTGTCTAGGGTGAACTCAGCAAGTGTAGCTGGTGGTACACCACCAGCACCACCACATTGCAACACGCCTCCACAGTCACCGGTGGCGCAGTTTCCTTTGCCAGAATTATCAAATGAGCATCCACTTCGACCCCAAACCCGGCCTGACCACCCTGTCGGGACATTGACATTTATGGTTTGCCCTGGATTTAACTGGAACCCACCATTCATTAGTGGTGGTTTTCCGGCTCCTCCTAGGATGCCGGGCCAGATTGTTGTCCTGCATCGGTTTTGCAATGTAAAAACAGCTGCATTGGCTCCTACGGAAAAATAAATAAATAAATAAAATGCAACAACAACAACATTAGTGATTACGTCTAATCTTGGAAATAAATAAATAGAAGCCAAGCAAGAATGTTAAGATTGTAAATGAAATGGCTTTAGTTATGGAAGTGTAGTTATACCTAAGAAATTGAGAAGTAGGAAAAGGCAAAAATGCCAAAATGCCATGAATGATGAATTGATTGAAGGGATTGTAAGAGTGATGATGTTTCCACTTTTGTGAGTGTTGTAATGGATTGGAGTATTCAACAAGTAGAGAGAAAGGGTATATATAAGGGTGGGAGTTGACTTGCACAACCTTTGAATGGTCCTATATAAGTGTGGGTCCTACATTGTATTTTATCAAATTTTTAATATTATATATATATATATATATATTTGAACAGAAAGAAAAGAAAAAAAAAAAGTGTGTTTTGTGGGGATATCATAACATTTGTAAGCTCTAGTCCTAGGATAACTAGTTGCCGGTTAGATTTAACCTAACTCATAGGAAGAGACTCATCACCGAAGTATCCAATAGACCTTAATTTTCGATCGGAATAATGCGTTATCCATGAGGCCACCAACCCCAGTGGTCTTTTAATAAAATATTTAGTCGCTTATTGTGACATATTTAATGACTAAATTATTTTTTAGTTGTCAATAAATAATATACCGTGACTAACAAATTTTAGTAGTTAAAACCTAAAATAACGCCAACCAATTTAATTTTTAGTCGCCTATTGTACGACTTTTGACAACTAAATTCTTTTTAGTCGTCAAATTCAGTCGCTAAATGTGTAAATTGTTGTAGTGAATACTGCTCTATGAAAAAAATATAAGCATGTTACATAATACATATATGAATAAGATTTAATTTACCTGTTTATAGTTTGAGACTGGGGTACTTTGTCCTTTATAGTCCAAATATAATAAAAAAAATCTTCACGCAATTTTGGATCAAAGTGTAACTAGTAACTCTATTATGACTATAAGTCTTAATACTTTCAAACCCAACTAATTATAATTAATTAGAAATTCAATTAAGTGAATTAGTTACACCTCCAAGATTTGGAATGGAGCTGTTGGTTAGGTCTATTGGACCAACGGTCCTATTTCGATTATTGGAATTCGTGCATATTATCTATATATAAAATTAAGTCGATTTGATTATCGTAATCTATTTAATTTATCATATTTGTCTCAAAAAAAAAAATAGAATAAAAAAAAATAAGCAGCAAGTTTAATTTTGAAAATAGACCATTCATAAATTAAATAGATTACGATTATTGAATTGATTTAATTTTTTATATGAAAAATATGCATGAAGAGTCTTGCAAAATGAATGATTTAGATAATTGAAATAGTGAATTACGTGTGGATCCAAACAGCATCCTCTAGTCAAACTACTATGTATGTATTATATATATATATATTAAAATATACATTTAGGATTTGAAATAGGTGAATCATATTCAATTTATCTTGGGTGACCCATACCAAAGTTTTTATTTGGGTGTGCTATATAAGCACACTTTTTATCTTTTTATTTTTTTTTGAGTCACATCATCTCTCTACTCTGTACATCTTTTTATAAAAAGTTAAAAAATACATTTATTTAAATCATATATATATATATATATATATACATATATACACTTTTGAGTACATAGTGAAATAAAAGAATTATTTGTATAAACATTTAAAATATACCATGGAGATAAGGATTTATCTGCCAAAACAAGAAGAATAAATTGTTAAAAAGTCCAAACTAAGGAGGGTATAAGATATTAAGTTCAGTGAATATTTTTTTGTTGATAAGAAGTCCACATTTTTTGAAATAGTTTGGTGACTAGTCATTCGGTTGGTTTTGGAGGATATTTTGTTTTCAATTTTACCCCTTAATATATCTATTGACATTTTTTGACTACCTGTTCAATTTTTATTTATCTGTTCAATTTTTTTTTTCTATGTGTTCAAAATTTTAACTATCTGTTCAACTTTTCCCTTTATCTGTTCATATATCTGTCCAAACTTTATTATATGTTCAATTTTCTCATTTATATTTTTAAATCTATCTATCCCAATTTTATTATCTGTTCAATAACAATAAAAAATGTATCCTTTGAAAATCTAACAACAACAACAAATCTATATGTTAAAAATCTATCTCTGTTCTATGTTTATTCTTGAGAGACGATGATGAGATCAGTATGTAATTCTTCATATTTGAGATTTGAGATCATCAGAGATCTGAGATACACATAGATAAACACAACAGGCCAATCAAGATCTATGGCCTTCTTAACTCCATCAATCATTACTGGCGGAAGTGGCTTTCCCAAAATATATCAGATTCACTACAACCACTTCAACCATCTTATTGCTCTTTCCTCACTATCCACGTCGCTAATCGTTGTCATCTACCATCATTTAGGAGCATAGTTCTAAAAACTGGCTGATACGCTATATACCGGCTGGTTCATATTAGAAAAATGGAGCACCGCGACGGATACAAGCCGGTATAGCGTTGAGATCAAAAATTGTAGGAGAATCGGCTGAGTTCCGGTACGTAACAGTTTGTAACCGTTACACAAGACGCGACTGGCCGATACTCATCGGTTCAGACCGGTACAAGAAACAAAAAGCTGAAAAACTTGTGAAATAATTTTTAAAATTTCATTGCCGTGACGCTCGATTCCCGATTTTCGATTTCCGATACATACCAACCGATACTACCGATATTAATACTCCGCAATCGATACCGTTACTGTCACGACCCCAAACCGCCCCTAGTAGTTTGGTGCCGTGATGGCCAGTAATCTGAGATTACCGAAGGCCAACTTTCAAAATTTCACACTCAACAGAGTATAAATATAGGGGGCTCACGAGTACGGAAGCGATTCATACAATCAGATTAGTCCATAAAAGCTGTGCATAAGTTAAATGAAATAGCAATCATCTGCAGATGGGTTACAACTCAATTACAAACGAAGCAAAGTACAAATTACATCTTGCATATTAACAAAAGGGCTTCACAAGCCGACATGAACAAAATACGTGAAATACAGCTAGAAGCAAAATCTTCAGGATTGCCGACATCCTCACTGCCGACATAACATGTATACAAAACACACATCTTGATCAAAAGGCTTCTCAAGCCGACGTATGCAACATACAAGTACTACAAATCGAGAAGCATAATTTTCAAGACTGTCGACGTAATTACAGGTTAAGCTGACATAATCAAAATCCCAAAAGAAGCTCCAGAATCACATCTAGGCGTCACCGCGTTCTTGCTCATCACCTACATATATATAGAGAGGGTGAGCTTGGATACTCAGTGAATGGTATAAATAATAAAGAGTTTACATGAATAACAGCCGAAGTCCTCTCAAACAATACAAGTCAAAAACTTTAAATAATAAGGGATGGTCCTCGCCCATCTAACAAATCTTCAAAGCTTCAAGGGGTGTTTACTAGCATCAACATATTACAAACGATAACATTCCGGCAAACATATCCACACGGTAAACCGTCAGTGGCAAAACAAGACAAAGTAAGAGAGACGTCTCAAACAAGGGTGCTACGAAAGTTTAGAGTCCTCTAGCACAAGGGACCTATGTTACAAAGGCCCGTAGCCTTTTAATACGAGAGTGCTGCGAAAGTTTAGAGTCCTCCAGCATAAGGGACTTTCAAGACAAGATGTGCTGACAAGGGACTTCTAAAACGAGAGGTGCTGCGAAAGTTTAGAGTCCTCCAGCACAAGGGACTTTCGAACGAGATGTGCTGCGAAAGTTTAGAGTCCTCCAGCACAAGGGACTTTTCAAACAAGATGTGCTATGAAAGTTTATAGTCCTCCAGCACAAGGGACTTTCCGAGAAGGTCATTCAAGCAAGTATAATACGAGATACAAAACTAAGGACAATCATTCATGCTTAACAAATACCTTTCAAAAACAAAGCAAAGCAAAACTCATCAAAACATTGATAACATAGCTTATTAAAAATACCACTCACATAGATCTTCAACGTCGGGGTCAAGGCAAGTCCAAGTCCTACAAATACATGGCAAAGTCTATTGAATGCATTACTCATGGCAGATATGTAAATACGGGGTTTCGGTACCGTTTCTTGCGCATTACGGTTCGAACACTCGAACACCTATACGGGCCGAGGTCCCACACCTCCTTGCCGAGGTGTAGCCTCGATGGCCACATTCAAAAGCGAAGTCGGGAAAATCTGGGTTTCCCTCTTGATAAACATGAAGAACATGAACATGAGGAAGATGAATGCAAAGATCAAAACTTGCTATTACAACAGCTGAGACTTCATGCTATGAATTCAAAAACATGGACCTGGGTACCCACACTCAAGGATCTTATCAAAACAAACACAAAAACATGAGCTTTAATGCAAACTTTCGAATCAAACGAGGCTTTTCTTCAAAAACAAAAACACATGAAAACCGTTTTCTCTTTCTAAAACCAACTTTAAATCGATGAATGGCGTGTAGAACTGGTTTGATCATGCAATGCAGCTAGATGATTAACAAGAACAACAAGAATAGGTTAAGATTCTAACCTCAAAACTCGAATCTAATGGCTCAAGCTCCGACGATCAAGCTTGGAAGTTCACTCTCTCTCTTGCTCAAACTCCTCCTTCTTCTTCCTAGAGTTTCTCTCTCTAAAAGGCAAGACTTGATGCAAATGATATGTTTCTCACGAAAATCACTGACTTAATCCCTCTGTCGGGACACGTGGCATCGGCTGATAGGTTCTACTCGAAAAGGTGACTGACTTGACAAGACAAGACCAAGACAAGGTGTACTCAACAAGCTAAACAACAAGAGTACTCCGGCAAGTGATGATCTCGGCTAAGGGCAAAGCTTCGGCAAGCAGGGTAACAATGACATCGGCTTGGAAGGACAACACTTGACTAAACTGTGCCGCACCTTGGCCTAGATGTGCCACACCTCGGTCTAGGTCATACCATTCCAGGAACAAAACCACTCATGCAAGGGTCAAGGATCTAGAACGCCTAGATATTACATCTCGGCCCAGATGATGCACATCTCGGCCTAGGCGACGCGCACCTCAGCCTAGATGGTGACATCTAGGCCAATATGCCAGGGTGAAGATGGAGGTCAACCAATGGGGTTCCAAGATAGTTCTAAGTGACAAAGGTCTCGAAGGTGTTTAGGCTTAAGATGACCTCGGCAACACACCAGACAAGAACAAAGCAA